CACCCTGTTCCAACGAGGCTGCGACGTCAGCAAGGCAGTGGTGGAGTCATGTTTTGGGCCGGAATCATGGGAACAGAGCTGGTCGGTCCCTTTAGGGGCCCCGAAGGTGTAAAGATGACCTCTGCAAAGTATGTGGAGTTTGACTGACCACTTTCTTCCCTGGTACAGAAGGAAGAGCTATGCTTTCTGTAATAAAATCATCTTCATGCATGACAATGCACCATCTCATGCTGTAAATAATACCTCTGCATCAATGGCTGTTATGGGGATAAAAGGAGAGAAAGTCATGGTGTGGCCTCCATCCTCCCCTGACCTCAATCCTATTGAGAACCTTTGGAGCATCCTCAAGCAAAAGATCTATGAGGGTGGGAGGCAGTTTACATCCAAACAGCAGCTCTGGAAGGCTATTCTGACATCTTGCAAACAAATTCAAGCAGAAACTGTCCAAAAACTCACAAGTTCAATGGATGCAAGACTTGTGAAGCAGCTGCTATCAAATGAGGGGTCCTATGTTAAAATGTAATGTGACCTGTTAAAATGTTTAAAAAGTTAAAATGTTGTTAAAAGTTTGATTGAAATTGCTTTTGATTTCAGTAAATATGCTGCAAACACAACAAATGACAATTTTCAGTTCTTTACAACCTATAAAGTGTTTTGAAACTTACTGTGCGTAAGAATTTGGAACAGTGCATTGTAAGTTTTTTTTATGTTTAAAAAAAAAAAAATCCTGTTATTAGGAGGTTTGTTCAATAAAATTTGAATTGTACACTTAATAGTTGATAACATGAGAATTATGCTGACTGTTATTTACAGCAATTATTTAGGTAAATGAGAAAAATATCATTTGCATAATAATTTGGAACACGTTGTATATGTGTGTTAGAAACAGGAACTGCATATATCACACTAGTGATATAATTGCAGGTTTGTTTGATTCCTATCGCCCGACGCCTGGGACATGTAGTTTCGGGCGCTGAGCAGTTATTTTTTTTTCCCTCCCTTAGCCCTGCTGCGGGCAAGCAGCGGGCTCACTTGTCAGGTGAAGCAATCGGCGGCAGCACTGCCGCCGATTTGCTTTCACAGTGCCAGCCTCTCCGCACCCTTGGCATGAGGTTTCCCGGGCTCCGCTTGCCCATCTGCGGGCCTGGCTCGCAGTCGGCTAGAAAAGAGTCCGCTTCTCTCCCCTTTTTGTGCTGACCCGGAAGTGACATTACAATGTCACTTCAGGGTCATTGTTGAGAGCTTGTAATAAAATCCCCAGGAATGAATGTAATATGGTGCAGATGTGCACCACATTACATTCAGTGGAGCAGAGGGGAGATATGTAGGGTCTTTTAGGCCTTGAATGTCTCAAAGAGAACCTGAGTAATAATAAATAATATAGTGCAGCGCTAAAAACTAAATAATTAAACATAAATAAATATATAAATAAATGCATATATATATATATATATATTTATATATATAAAACACAATATAGCAAAACTATAAGATATCCTGCAGGGATCTATAATAAATTGCCACAAAATAGTGCAAATGGTGAAAAACAACCAATGGGTCACAGATTAAGACCTGTGTGTGTGTGTGTGTGTGTGTATATGTATATGTATATGTATGTATGTATATATATATATATATATATATATATATATATATATATATATATATATACTATGAAAACCAATGAATACCCCAATCCCAAAAATTGGGATAATAATCATACACCAAATGTGTAAACAAGGTGAATCCCAATACTGGGATGATCATATATCAATCAACAAAGTGACAAGTGCTCTATCACAACTCATACAGTGACGACAAACCCAATCCAATAGTGTAAAAATATAAATATATAAAACAATTAATACATATATGCGCTGTGAAAAATCCAAAACACACAAACGTCAAATGTCCAATCAAGTCCAATAAAGTGCAAACAAATCCTTCACATCAAGGTGCTTCGCTACTCATAAGGGACTGGTGCCGTGTGGTGTGCACACCAAACAAATCCTATGGTGGCTAAAATGCCCCCTCACCTCCTTGCAATGACCCAATGGGTAATACGCTTTTCGAATCACACCAGGATCCTACGGTACAGGTCTCCTTATTAGCCGACTTCCGCACACAGGGTTCCACATACAGCCCAAGGTTATTTCACCTTCCTGGACAGGTAAGCAGGTGTTCTTACTATCCCCAACTTACTCAGTAAGACCTTGCGTGGCTCCCCATAAGATCATGCGTAGCTCATAAGGGGAGAGAGAGAGACACTTCCATAGTGCAATAATGCTTTTAATAAAGTAAATCCAAAAAAATGCCAGTAATATACACTCACATTTAGGTGGTATCATTCAGGCATTTACGCCACATGTTATGGGTGTATTCCCATGTATCCGGGTGTACCAAGATGGCTGCCACCGTAATGACGTCACCGCGTATCGACACGTTGCGTCACGTTTCCCACGTGACTTCTGATTCTGTCGGCTTCTTCTTTCCTATCCAAAGAGGCTTGAGTACCATCCATTTTAGCTTTCCGAATAGATCTGATTCCAGTCCTTTCTTCACAGAGAACCGTTTCGGACCTCAAAGTATGCTCCAAGAGCACATGCATTTATTGGAGGTGTTGAACACGAGCACTTTTTGACTTCTTTTCATGGAGGGTCAAAATTGGTTGGTAAGCTCACATCTATCCCTGGCTGAGGTGGCAATCATGTGGATCTTTAGGAGCAAGTTGTGGTGGTGGTGGATTTATGTTTCATATATTGAGGGGATTAGTGGATGAAAGAAACATTTTTAGCACTATATTTGAAAATGTGTTATATTTTGTGTTTTAATTAGATTTGTATGATTAGTGCAACAGGTATACTTTAGTAACAGGTGTTACTAAACCCACAACAGTCAAGTTAGTCTGTATATGCAGTAAAGCATGCTTGTTATACTCACTGTGAAACCTAAGGGTTAATCCTCCTCATTGTTCAAAAAGGCTGTTTGATCCTGTCTTCTCTGATCCTCCCTTTCTACTGTTCCCAATCCATCTGCTGATGGTACAGAGCCCTAGGAGTCAACATGCTCAGTTTGGTGTGTATTGCTAGAGAGGTTTTTTTTTTTCTTTGGGAGGGTGCATAAGAACAGCACAGGGCTGCTATCCAGATAGAGGGTCATGGGTTATGCAGACTTATAGGACAATCCGAGGAGAAAACTCCCCCCCTACAAGAATAACCAGTTCTCTGCTGGACATTGATAGGAATCTTAAGACTGCTATATATTGCTGATGAGAAAGTATTTAGCAGTTTATACTTATTAAAATAATTTTATTTCCATGTTGTGTGTACTGTGGGATACCAAATATAGTGAATGCTGGGTCCTGGGTTTAGTAACACTTTAAGTGTTTGTTTTTTTCTGTGATGAATATCTTGTGGTACTGTTGCAGCTATTCAATATATTTGCTTTCACTTTTTTTTTTCTTTACTGTATACAATGGTCATATTCAGAGTTTTTTCCAGTACATGACTGAGTCTGGTTAGTTGTCACGTGGCAATACATGCTTTATTTCAGACACGTTTTTGATAAATGAGACCATTGATCCTTTCTTTTTTTGAGATGCTTTTTTAGTATTTTTTTTTTTTTTTTAATTTTAAGAATAAATGAAGTACAAGGTTCATTAAATCATTCTAAAGTCCTATTCCACTATTCCAGAACCCCTATACAATTGCTCTTCTTTCAAGTACCCTATAAGGTCAACATTAGGTGTTTTAGCAGAGAAATTTTTGTAGAACCTCTCTTCCCAAAAATTGGTATGTTGACTTTGCTTGTAATTAATGTCAATTATATCTGCATCACTTCACTTCTAAATGGGGCTTTTGGTGACTATTTAATACAGCATCCATGGTAGTCATACTTTGATTTGTAAATCTTAGGTTTCCCCACCATGAACATTTCAATCCGGCACCTGTATCGCCATGCTCAACACTATGCACTGTACATCTTTACGTGGTAGCAATGTGTACAGGACTACACCCCCACTAAGTGGAAAATGAAATACTCAACAACCAAACAGATTCCATCATGTACTGCTAATGCTGGAGTAAATGGGTGGTTTGGTTGGTTTACTGTGTAATACTGCACTATGCGTTTAGTGCTTTGCTTCTTGTACCTCATTTTCTTAAAGCTGAAGCTTAACTTAAAACAACCCTACAGCTTAAGTCACATCACTTACCTGTAATGAAGTATGTCCTACATTGTGCAGGCCACTGGATCCTGAAGAAATCTTGAATACAGGATTCTTGTCATCTTTCTGCCTCTGATCTTGTGGCACTGCAGTGGTTACCAGCTTCAGGTCTTCAGGAAGAACTGCAGTACATATAGCTTGGTGTGGACCCACGCCTCCTACATCATCCATCAATGAGAAATCACTGATTACATTGCTTGTAGTGAAATCTAGGGATGGGAGAAAGAACCCTGTGACTGATCAGTCTCTCCCCCAATCAGATATTATGTTACATGCTTATAATCAAACTTTTCTTAATGGAGTAGGAGGAAGAGGGGGGATGTCTCCTCATCCGACCAACTGTACTGCTGGTTTGCCTGAGATCCTGAAGCTGCTAACCATTGCCATGGTGGAATTTTAGAGACCGGAAGAGGACAGGCACTCTTGTAGTGATTATTTCTACAGGTTCCAGCTGCCTGCAGAATGTGGTACATACAGTACTTCTTTACAGGTATGTGATGTGACTAAAGTTGTGGTTTTTTTTTTTTTTTTTTTTTTTTTTTAATTTAATCTTCAGCTTTAAATAAGTTCTATGTTTAACTTTCTAGTCTCTATTTCTGTGACTGTATTGTGGATGAGAAAGTCATTAAAATGTTTCCTTTCATTATGAAAGGCTTCAGCAGAAGGAAAAAAAACCCATAACACTGCCATTTTCTTTGATATAGATTTTGATTTGGAAAAGTTTTGAGTCATATTTTCTAGAGGTAAAAGCTTATGTTTTTCATCTATTTTTCAGATTTGATGTTATGTTTGACAATGTAGGTGGAACAAGTGAAGAGCTGGCTCTTCAGTACCTTAAGCCATGGTCTGGAGCTTCATACTGCACACTGGTTACACCTTTTCTGTATAACACTGACCGGATGGGTATAGCAGATGGAATGATGCGTTCGGGTTTTACTCTGGGATCAAAAGTGATAAAGGTAATATTTTGCATTGGCAGGTACAGTATGGATGTAGTCAGAATATGTAGAGTATTTGTTTCCATGGCTGCATATAGTCATGGCTGTATATTTGAGGTTTTTAATTTGCAGAACATTTACTATCGTTTCCTTGTTTATTACTCTGTATGTAGTTGTGTGTTGTATTTTAGAACAGTAATAAACAATCTTTGTTCCTTGTTTCAGCATCTCTGCAAAGGGATCCACTACCGCTGGGGTTTCTTTACCAACAGTGGGCCAGCCTTGGATGAAATTGGTGAAATTGTGGATGCTGGCAAGGTAGGTAGCTGTTCTGTTGGTAGTGAGTGAAAGATATTTTCACAGTTGTCATGGCTTATAGCTCCTCACAAGCTGATCATCTTAAAGACATGATTAGCAAAGTATATGTGTAGAAGCAAGAGCTAAAGATAAATTAGAATGAAAAAAATACAAGATCGACCACTTATTGATTCCAATCAAGTAACCGAGAAACAATCCAACAGCAAAATATATTATACAAAGATTTATCACTGTTGCCACACAGTCATCTGTTGCAATCACTCCTAGCCCATAAACGAAGTGTGACAATTCCTGGAATGGACTGTAAAAAAAAGGTTTCCTCAGGGTGCAGAGTCTAAGCCCCAGCTAGCTTCTTCACCAGGACCCCTGATGGTGGGGATGGACTTGCAGCAAGCTGGAACCAGGACGTGGCCTCCAGGTACGCCGAGTTGAGAATGCGGAGACCACTATTATGTGCAGAGTACAATGGCAGGAGACTGAAGGGAAACCAGGAAACAAGCCAAAGTCAGGGCAGGCAGCAGGCAAGCACATATGGTGTACAAATCTGGGATCGGTACATGGGTAGTCGTACAAAGGATTCATGAAACCGTAAGCAGACAGGAGCTTGGAGAATTGTGCAGTTGTTCAGACAACATGGCCTGCACTGAGTGTGTATGTGTGTGCGCATATATGTGTATGTATGTATGTATGTATGTATGTGTGTGTGTATGTGTGTGTGTATGTGTGTGTGTGTGTATATATATATATATATATATATATATACAGTCAGGTCCATAAATATTGGGACATCAACACAATTCTGACATTTGTGGCTCTATACACCACCACAATGGATTTGAAATGAAACAAACAAGATGTGCTTTAACTGCAGACTGTCAGCTTTAATTTGAGCGTATTTACATCCAAATCAGGTGAACGGTGTAGGAATTACAACAGTTTGCATATGTGCCTCCCACTTGTTAAGGGATCAAAAGTAATGGGACAATTGGCTTCTCAGCTGTTCCATGACCAGGTGTGTGTTATTACCTCATTATCCCAATTACAATGAGCAGATAAAAGTTCCAGAGTTCATTTCAAGTGTGCTATCTGCATTTGGAATCTGTTGCTCTCAACTCTCAAGATGAGATCCAAAGAGCTGTCACTATCAGTGAAGCAAGCCATCATTAGGCTGAAAAAACAAAAACCCATCAGAGAGATAGCAAAAACATTAGGCATGGCCAAAACAACTGTTAGGAACATTCTTAAAAAGAAGGAACGCATCGGTGAGCTCAGCAACACCAAAAGAGCCGGAAGACCATGGAAAACAACTGTGGTGGGTGACCGAAGAATTTTTTCCCTGGTGAAGAAAACACCCTTCACAACAGTTGGCCAGATCAAGAACACTCTCTCAGGAGGTAGGTGTATGTGTGTCAAAGTCAACAATCAAGAGAAGACTTCACCAGAGTGAATACAGAGGGTTCACCACAAGATGTAAACCATTGGTGAGCCTCAAAAACAGGAAGGCCAGATTAGAGTTTGCCAAACGACATCTAAAAAAGCCTTCACAGTTCTGGAACAACATCCTATGGACAGATGAGACCAGATCAACTTGTACCAGAGTGATGGGAAGAGAAGAGTATGGAGAAGGAAAGGAACTGCTCATGATCCTAAGCATACCACCTCATCAGTGAAGCATGGTGGTGGTAGTGTCATGGCGTGGGCATGTATGTCTGCCAATGGAACTGGTTCTCTTGTATTTATTGATGATGTGACTGCTGACAAAAGCAGCAGGATGAATTCTGAATTCTGTGTTTCGGGCATTATTATCTGCTCATATTCAGCCAAATGCTTCACAACTCATTGGACGCCGCTTCACAGTGCAGATGGACAATGACCCAAAGCATACTGCAAAAGCAACCAAAGAGTTTTTTAAGGGAAAGAAGTGGAATGTTATGCAATGGCCAAGTCAATCACCTGACCTGAATCCGATTGAGCATGCATTTCACTTGCTGAAGACAAAACTGAAGGGAAAATGCCCCAAGAACAAGCAGGAACTGAAGACAGTTGCAGTAGAGGCCTGGCAGAGCATCACCAGGGATGAAACCCAGCGTCTGGTGATGTCTATGCGTTCCAAACTTCAGGCTGTCATTGACTGCAAAGGATTTGCAACCAAGTATTAAAAAGTGAAAGTTTGATTTATGATTATTATTCTGTCCCATTACTTTTGGTCCCTTGACAAGTGGGAGGCACATATGCAAACTGTTGTAATTCCTACACCGTTCACCTGATTTGGATGTAAATACCCTCAAATTAAAGCTGACAGTCTGCAGTTAAAGCACATCTTGTTTGTTTCATTTCAATTCCATTGTGGTGGTGTATAGAGCCAAAAATGTTAGATTTGTGTCAATGTCCCAATATTTATGGTCCTGACTGTGTATATATATATATATATATATATATATATATATATATATATATATTTATTCTCAAACTGGGAGGCAGGCCAGGAAGTGATGGAAGGGAAAAGAAATGTAAACCCACAGAATAGCAGGCAACACCCATAGGTGAACACAGAAGCCCACAACACATGTGAAAGGAATCCGAGGACTAGGAGAAGCACTGCAGCAAGAGGTAAGGATTACACAGTCAGGACAACTGCAGGCTAAATTGTGACAAAAAATGTTAGCTTACCTATACACCAGTGGCTGTTGTCACTTTCAAAGTAGTCCCCTTTTGAAGCAACACTTTTCTAGATGACTGTGCTAGAGCTCGCAACATTCCTGGAATTTGTTTTCAGGAACACTGTGCAGTATCTTTGTCACGACGCACTGGATATCCCTAAAGTCATCAAATCTGTGTCCTTTTTAAGATATTTTTTAATTTTGGAAACAGCAAAAAGTCACAGGGTACACAAGTCAGGGGAATAAGATGGTTAGTCAAGTTTCAGAATGGATTTCTGGGCCAGGAACTCGCAAACACTTAACGCATTATGTGCAGAAGCATTCGCATTATGTGCACCAGTCGTGGTGGAAAATCTACTTGTCAGAGTTTCGATCTTTTCCTCCAAACAGACATGTGTAACCTTTTCAGGATTTCCAAGTAACACTATTGCGTTTTTTGGCTTCCCCCTTCTTGCATCATTCTGGACATCTTCATGCCCCACCTTAAATCGCTTATGCCTTTCAAAAACACTTGATTTCTTCATAGAATGTTCACCATAAGCCTGTTGTAATAGAGCTAAAGTTTCACTCACACTTTTACCAATTTTCACGCAAAATTTGATATTAATCCGCTGTTCCAGATTTCTGTCTTTCATTTTTTGCCAACAGCGCAATTCACACTTATTTCCTCTATTCCAGGGGTCTCCAAACTTTCTACGCAAAGGGCCAGTTTATTGTCCCTCAGACTTTAGGGGGACCAGACTGTAGCCAGTGGGAGTAGAAAATGCCCCGACATCAGTTCCCCATCATTGATTTTATATGGAGGAATAGTGCCTCATTGTTGATATCAGTGAGAAGTATAATGCTCCATTGATAGTGTCAGTAGGGGAATGGTGCTCCATCATTGGTGACAGCTGGTGGAATAGTGCCCCAAGGGCTAGATAAACTGAAGCAAAGGGCCACATCTGGCCCTGGGCCACAGTTTGGAAACCACTGCTCTATTCCATAAAGACTGAGTCAAGTGGTCTGTGACCAAGGCAAGTGCATGTTATGACATGTCAGAACATGCTCAAGTGCAGATGGCTGCGTGATTTACCACCATAGTGCTACGCTGTAGAACCTAAGGGGTTAATCCTCCGCACTGTGTAAAAAGGCTATTTGATCCTGTCTTCTCTGATCCTCCCCTTTTCTACTGTCCCTAATCCATCTGCTAATAGAATGGAGCCTTGGGGGCAAGCTGTACATACTCAGTTTGGCCCTGTGCTGATCACATGTACTCTCCCAAGAAAAAAAAAACCTCTCTAGCAATACACACCAATCAGCACTGTTCAAACAGACGGTCAGGAGTGCTGCAGCCTCATAGGACAATCAGAAGAGGATGAAAACTCCTCCTACAACTTTAATCAGTGCTCTGCTGGACACTGATAGAAGTCACAAGACTGCTCTTAACTGCTGATGAGAAAAGGTGTTTTTCCATGTTGTGTGTACTGTGGGAGTATATAGTGATATAGTGAATGCACGGTCCTGGGTTTAGTAACACTTTAAGCCAAAACTTAGTTTTACATAGTTAGTCTGGCTGAAAAAAGACAAAAGTCCATTGAGGTTAAACCAAAAAAAAAAAAGTTATAATCCTACACCCACAATTGATCCAGAGGAAGTCAAAAACCCAGCAAAGCATGAATCAATTTGCTCTTGCAGGGGTAAAAAATTCCTTTGTGATCCCCCGAGAGGCAATCAGATATTCCCTGGATCAACTTTACCTATAAATATTAGTATCCAGTTATATTCTGTGTATCTAGGAAAGAATCCAGGAATTTTTAAAACCAATCCACTGAGCTGGCCAGAACCAACTCTTGAGGGAGTTTATTCCTCATTTTCACAGCTCTTACTGTGAATAAACCTTTCCATATTTGGAGATTAATTCTCTTTTCCTCCAGTAAAGAGTGCCCCCTTGTCCTCTGTGATGACCTCAGGGTGAATAGCTCTACACCGAGTTCACTATGTGAACCACTGATGTATTTATACATGTTGATCTTATCCTCCCTTAATCTCCTCTTCTCAAGAGAGAATAAATTCAATACCTGTAATCTTTCCTCATAACTGAGCTCCTCCATGCCTCTAATCAGTTTTTGGTTGTCCTTTCTCCAGTTCCCCAATGTTCTTTTTGTGAATTGGTGCCCAAAACTGAACTGCATATTCCAGATGAGTTCTTACTAATGATTTGTACAGGGGTAGAATGATCTCTCTCTCTCTCTCTCTCTCTCTCTCTCTCTCTCTCTCTCTCATTCTCTCTCCTTTTAGATACATGAGAGGATTTTGCTCGCTTTAGAAACCGCAGCTTGGCATTGCATGCCATTATTA